GGGTGTTGAGGAGTGTTGAGGAGTGTTGAGGCGTGTTGAGGCGTGTTGAGGCGTGTTGAGGAGTGTTGAGGCGTGTTGAGGCGTGTTGAGGAGTGTTGAGGCGTGTTGAGGCGTGTTGAGGCGTGTTGAGGGAGGTGTTGAGGCGTGTTGAGGAGTGTTGAGGCGTGTTGAGGAGTGTTGAGGCGTGTTGAGGAGTGTTGAGGAGTGTTGAGGCGTGTTGAGGAGTGTTGAGGCGTGTTGAGGCGTGTGTTGAGGAGTGTTGAGGCGTGTTGAGGAGTGTTGAGGAGTGTTGAGGTGTTGAGGCGTGTTGAGGCGTGTTGAGGAGTGTTGAGGAGTGTTGAGGTGTGTTGAGGAGTGTTGGGTGTTGAGGAGTGTTGAGGTGTTGAGGAGTGTTGGGTGTTGAGGAGTGTTGAGGAGTGTTGAGGTGTGTTGAGGTGTGTTGAGGAGTGTTGAGGTGTGTTGAGGTGTGTTGAGGAGTGTTGAGGTGTGTTGAGGAGTGTTGAGGTGTGTTGAGGAGTGTTGAGGTGTGTTGAGGAGTGTTGGGTGTTGAGGAGTGTTGAGGTGTGTTGAGGTGTGTTGAGGTGTGTTGAGGTGTGTTGAGGAGTGTTGAGGAGTGTTGAGTGTTGAGGAGTGTTCAGGTGTGTTGAGGAGTGTTCAGGTGTGTAACTGTCCCGTGTTGTGTCTCTGCAGGGTGAGGACAGAGCTGCTCTGTCTCCTACAGGTAAGAGAGCAGCAGAGATAAATCACCCCCATGGTTAACATCCAATCATTCTTTCATCCGCTGAGTGTAACTGGTTTTATCTTCCAGCCAATCAGTCGCCTTCCTACCAAAACCCAGGGGGCGTGGCCTCCTGCCGGACAGCCAGTCTGAGACCAGAGAGCTTCCTGTTTCGTCTGGGTCAGAAGGAGGAGAAGAGAAAAGGTGAGGACTGGAGCGGAGGTGCGGAGGTGTGGAGGTGTAGGTAGCAGTGTGTAGGTTTGGTGATGACTCCTCTGTTTCCTCCAGGTGATGCTGCTCCTCAGAGCCAGGAGGAGGCTCCAGCTGCTCCTCCTCTGGTTGGAGAAGATGCTGAGCTGGTGGAGCAGCTGCGAAAGGTTGGTTCCTCCTTCTGAAGCCACAATTAATGACCCCAACACAGAGACTCCTCTGGTCCGCCTTCACAGCCTCGCTGTGTTTAACTTTATAACCTGTAGGTTTTAATTCAAGATTTAATCACAGGTTGGAAGTTCAGTGGTGAAGTCATGTGACCACAGAGATTATTGTCTATAATTATCCCATTGTCTGTCTGTCTGTCTCTATCTCTCTCTCTGTCTGTCTGTCTCTGTCTCTCTCTCTCTGTCTGTCTGTCTGTCTGTCCCTCTCTGTCTCTGTCTGTCTCTCTCTGTCTCTCTCTGTCTGTCCCTCTCTGTCTCTCTCTCTGTCTGTCTGTCTGTCTCTCTCTCTGTCTGTCTCTCTCTCTCTCTCTGTCTGTCTCTGTCAAATTCAAATTCAAAATGGGCTTTATTGGCATGAAAGTTTTTTGAAAACAATATTGCCAAAGCAAAGTATTCAAATACAATAAATCAAAGATATAAACATTATGAACATTATATTAGTTATATACAGTGTGTGTGTGTGTGTGTGTGTGTGTGTGTGTAGTATGTATTTGGTGTGGATGTTGATACATTGTGGGCAGAAAGGGTGCACGCTCTCTGTCTCTGAGGAGCCTTTTTAATTGGAGAGGTCGTAGCTGTTTAAATCGAACCAACGAGCTGATCTTAAATAAACGTTTCATATATTTAATTTTTAAAAATTGTCTTCACCTGTCCAACAGTGACCACGTTTTCTGTTTTCTTTGGTTGCCATGATGTTTTGTGTCTTCCTGTTTGGATTGGCAGTTTGTGGTCACTGAGCCTGTACTTGGTTAGGATCTGTCTCTGTCTCTCTCTCCAGAACATCGAGGCTCGTCTGAAGGTGTCGTTGCCTAGCGACCTGGGAGCAGCTCTGACAGACGGGGTGGTGCTCTGTCACTTGGCCAATCACGTGAGACCACGATCCGTCCCCAGCATCCACGTCCCCTCCCCCGCTGTGGTGAGTTTTGTTGTTGTTGTTGTTGTTGTTGTTGTTGTTGTTGTTTATTCTAACGCTGCTCCTCTGTGTCCTGCAGCCTAAACTCACCATGGCTAAATGTCGGCGAAACGTTGAGAACTTCCTGGAGGCGTGCCGCCGGATGGGAGTTCCACAGGTAACACACATATTACCTGTGATCCACCACAGGAACTCTCTGATTGGCTCTCGGCTCCTCTTCAACTAACAGCTTCCTTTCTTCTCTTTCACCTTCCCACCTTTCATTAATCATCTTTGATTCTGTCCATCTCACTCCTTTTATCCCTCGTCCATCCACCTGACACACTCAGGACAGTCTCTGTTCGGTGGGGGACGTCCTGGAGGGGAACGGAGGCGGGGTCTATGGGACGGTGGGCATGTTGCTCTCCATGGCTCCGCCCCAGATTAGCCCCTCCCCTCGTGTCCAGCTGGCAGGCTTTGCCCTCTTCTACCTGTCTGTCATGTCAGTGCTATGTGCCATCTACGTACACCTGGCGCCGCACGTCTGAACCCAACCTGACCAGATACCCCACAGACAGCACAGACAACAGACAGCAACAGACATTATTCTAGTTCACCAATAATAGCTCAGTATCGCAAAATAACGTGCACCAAATGTAAAGTAATAGTTTAAATAAGAGTAATATTTAGACTTGTTTAGAGCAAACACTGGAGGCATTGGGACACGGCTAGCTTGGCCGCTCTGTATATCATCCATTCTTTCTGCCACTTACTAAAGTCCACGTAGAACTGGCTGAAGTAAGAAGTCCTCCTCCGTAGCCACATCCACCAGCTCTTCCTGGAGGATCCAGAGGTTTTCCCAGTCCAGATGGGTCAGGGTACACTCAGTCAGAACCAGATCGTAGACATGTTGTCCAACAATACCAGATAGATATATGTGGAGACAGCAGAGCTAGAGAGAGGACTTTAGACACTGCACACTTTCTCACCTCCACACAGCCGACAGCACAAAGGGAGGCGCCCAAACCTCCTCAACTAACTCCCTTCAACACGAAGGAGCACCTGCTCTTCTCAGAGTTCCTCCCGGATGTCTGAGCTCAGACACCCTGCCGAGGAAACTCATTTCAACCACTGATATCCAGAATCTCTTTCTTTGAGTCACTATCCAAAGCTCATGACCACAGGAGCCAGAAACACAAAACCCGAAAGGATGCGTAGATGCCTTTCTCCCTAGCGATGTCCTTCAGCTCCTCCTGGCAGATCCAGATGTGTTCCTAGACCAGATGAGATATGTAATCCCTCCAGTGTGTCCTGCCCTGCCTTCTACTCTCAGCTGGACATACCTAGAAGCATCCTAAACAGTTACTGGCTCCTTCTGGGTGTCTGAGCACAACCAGCCTGCAAAGGAAACTCATTTCGACCTGTCGTTTCCTCCCTATCACTCCCAGTAGTAGTTTCAGTAGGTCTGCTTTGTATGATGGACTTCTGTGGTCTCTGCTAGGCAATAGAATTCAGTGACATTTTATCGGATCACAATCCAGTGTTGTTTCCACATGTAAAAACAAATTTTATCAATGTACTTTATTGAGTCTAAAGATGTTCAGCTTTCAATGTTTGTAATTGTTTTGTACTGACGAACAAATCAAATCACTCAAGCCTTTAAAGTCCTGAATCCCTGCTGTCAGAACTTCAGGTTTGGACTCAACTTGTAAGACTTGGATTTGGGCCATGACCAAAAGACAAACTTAACTTTGATAGTGACTTGATGTCACACCAAGACCTTCTTGAGGAGCAGAAGGTAAAGGTGTGTTTGTTAGTGAAGACCAGCAGGCAGACAAATAATTACTGGGACTCTATGCACAAAGTTTAAGACCTGGGACTTGTTAGTCTTGACTTGGGACTTGTTAGCCTTGATTTTGGACTTATTAGCATTGACTAAGAACTTGTTGGCCTGGACTTAGGATTTGTTGGCCTATATTTGGGACATGTTGGATTTTATTTGGGACTTGCTGGTCTTGACTCAGGACTTCATAGTCAAGAACAATCCAAAACAAGGTTTTAGTCCACCTCTGCTGAACTTGCCATATGTCCCTTGCGTCCCTGAGGGTTTCTGTTAAGCCATAAAGGATCTTGAGGTCCCTCGGGTGGTTGTTTAAACTTGACAATCCCACAAAGTTGGAGGTTTACCCTAAATCTTGTTTCCTGCCAGTTGAATCTCCGCCCCCTGTGCCTTATGTTTGGTTGCCTGTCTGAGTGTGTTTTTTACAGTTTTTACTGTGGTCCAGAGCCAGTCCCCCCCCCCTGAAGACCCTCCCTGGGTCAGAAACCTGCCAAAATCTGTGTTTTCCACTTGTGGTCTTCCTCTCTTTGACAGTGTTTGAGCAACTCAGTTGATGCGTCGTAAACAAACTTGGGGCAGTCGTCCCTTCATTGGGGGAAGAAGACCTGATGAACGTGTAGGAACCCTTCAGTGTTAGCACAAAGCCCTTCAGTCCCCTGCAGGAACCCAACAAACCCTGGTTCTGCATTTGTTTCCACTGTCCTCCGACTGCTTTGAGAACGACTACCAGGAACTCAATCTGGGCTCTGCTCAGGAGGTGACGTTAAATCCAGGTTCAGGTGTAAAAAGTGTGGTCGATGGCAGCGTGGTCGATGGCAGCGTGGTCAGTGGTGATTGGACGACTGCAATAAGCACAAGAACAGTAACCGCCATTTTACTGCATCTGTATAGAGGAGAGCAACCGGCACTTTAAAGACAGAACTTTAGCTGGACAAACCAACGTGTCTAAGCCTCATTAGTGTTTGTGTAGACGAAGTCATTCAGAGTCAGTCAGGGTTCTGTTCAGGTTCTGGTCAGAACCAGGTTGGCACGTTCCTGCAGTGGAAAGTTCTCCTCTTAACCAGCAGCTGTAATCCAGCTGTTTACTGGTCGACTTTATCCTTTGATGGCACTTGTTTTTTTGTAAGAGATGAAGAGTGAGGATGATGTTTTTTAAAGGACTGTGTTTGTGCTCTGAACATTAATAAAATAAACTGCAGCACCTCGACTCACTGTGTCTCTCTCACTGTAGAAGATCCTTCTGGTTGTATACAGTCCGACCCACAAGGGTTGTTCAGATGTTCACAAACAGAAAGGTCACAATGAATCAAAGACAGAATATATTCAGGCTGACATTGGCCGCGGTCGCCCTGCCGTGGCTGTAGGACTGATGGTAACAGTAAAGTGAGTAAGTGGACCTTGAGTTGAGGTTATCTTCCTGTGTCTCACCCTTTCTGCCCCCTTCAGTTCATTTTCTCATTTTCAGTCGCTGCTCCTCGTTTTTTCTCCTTTGTGTTGCCATGGTTACTGTTATTTTATCCATTCTTTTATTTTTGCCATCTGTTGACCCACCTTTCCGTTGTGTTTTCTTTTTGTCCACCCCCGCTGTGTGTCTTCCTCTGTGGTGTCCGTCCTCTGTAGAGTCAGTTGTGTCTTCCTCTGCACATTCTGGAGGAGCGAGGGCTCCCTCAGGTGGCCGGGACCGTCAGCGCCCTGCTCGACCTTGCCCCGCCCCGACACCCCATCACCCCGACGACGACGACGACCCCGCCCGGACCCTCCGTAAACATCTAGACAAGACGGCCACCCCTGCACATGCTCAGTGCGCCTCCTGTAACGCCCCTGTGGGTTGGTTTTAAGGTGCAGCAGGAGGAGGACGAGAGGAAACCTACAAGCAGATTGTTTTAGATAAAAACCTCCAGAACAACAGGTCTGGATCTGATGGAGACACAGCGACAGGTTTCTGACAACAGCTCAAACTTAAAGTGAAGCTCGGTTTAACTGAGAGAGAAAATGTAACACACTAAATATATGATATTAAATAATATCTGCTCTCACTCAGACAGCAGGAAGTAAATAATCATTCAACTGGAACTGTAGAGAATAAAGTTTAATGTTAGAACTGTTAGAACACTGACTGATGATTAGTAATGAGCTATATGGACGATATCTCAGCAGCTGATTGGGACACTGTTGGAGGTTTGGGGAGATGAGTCATTGGCAGAGGATGCAGCTGTGCAGCCAATCAGCTGCTGTAATAATATTATAATGATAATAATGATAATAATGGTAACTGTCAGTGTGTAGCTGCTGGGGACTCGAACTGTTCCATCATTAAACTCTGGGTTCACAGTACAGTCACAATCTGTCTCATACAGTTTAAGATCTTTGAGTTGAAGAATTATTGAGTAACTTGGCGGCATGAAGCTAACTGCTAACATTGTCCAACCTTATGTTGTAGTTTGTGAATCTTCCCAAACTCTGCTATATATATATTTATATTTATATATTTATATATATTGTGACACTGTGGTTGGCTGTCGGTCTTCAACTGACATTATTTACCTTTTATTTATTTATAAATCTGCTTAACACGCGAAGGACAATGTTTATTTTATTTATTCTATTTAGACACAAAACATGTAAATTCAACAATAAAATCTTTAAAGATTAAAAGATGAGTAAACAAACACTGAATTATAATTAAAGTTGTATTAATACAAATAAGATTAAGCTAATATAGCTAAATGCTAACATTAAAAGTTCATCAGATTGATAAAGTTGGTTTTGATGATGCTAACCGCTAACTGCTAACAATAACTAGTTTAAAGAATGACACTAATATAGCTCGCGGCTAACGGCAGCTAATGTTGATGTAGTTGGTTAATAAATTGATTAAGCTAATAGCTGTAAACAGCTAGCTAATAATTACAGTGCAGTAGATGGTGTAAAGTGCTAACCGCTAGCTCTACATGTTAGCTGACACTGCTAATTGCTAATGACAAGAAAATACTCAACGCTAATATTAGCTTAGAGGCTAGGCTAACATAGCTAGCTGCAAGCCTGAGCTAACATTGATAGAGTCAGAAGCTAATGTAGCTCAGTGCTAATGACTCAATAATATTTAATATTATAATCGGTTTGAATATTGATCGCTAACAGTAATTGTTATGGTTGCTCACTGCTAACACTAGCTAACATTATGAACCTCACTAGTTATTGTTGTTGGGTTAGCGATTATAGCTAGCTGTAATGTAACTCCATGCTAACGTGACTTTTAACGTAATGACGCCAGTAGGTTTGGAGGTTAAGCTAACACAGCTAGCTATAAAGTTAAACATTAGCTTTTTTATGTTGAGTTGAAGCTAATGTAGCTCAGTGCTAATGTTAGCTAACATGTCGCTGTTGTCAGTTGAATCTTTAGTTTTTAGTCTCCGTCAGATCCAAACGTCAGAATTTACACTTTCATATTTAAATTAGTCTTTTTCATCTTTATTGTGTTCGACGGACGTTAGCAGACGTTAGCGACGGACGTTAGCAGACGTTAGCAGACGTTAGCAACGGACGTTAGCAGACGTTAGCAACGGACGTTAGCAGACGTTAGCAACGGACGTTAGCAACGGACGTTAGCAGACGTTAGCAACGGACGTTAGCAACGGACGTTAGCGACAGACGTTAGCGACAGACGTCACGAGATGAAGACAAACGTCGGCCAAACCCTGAACTCTGTCTGAGGATCATTGTCTTCAGTTCCTCAGCTGACAGACGGACGTCGCTGTTTCTGTTCTTTGTACACAAGATTGTTTTTATCTGCACCTTCATATTATTCTCTTATTACAGTCTGAGCTCTGATCACCTCCTGATTGATCCAATCTGAGGGCTGATTACGAAATTAATTACTACAGAAGAAAAAAACACAACTGCACAAAATCAGTTTTACTTTGTAATAAATCAGAACATCGACAGTTTCTTGTTCCCTACGCTGTAACGCCACCGCTCTTTAGTTCCCTACACTGTAACACAGACACACTCTAGTTCCCTACGCTGTTACGCCAGCAGTCTGTAGTTCCCTACGCTGTAACGCCACAGCTCTCTAGTTCCCTACACTGTAACACAGACACACTCTAGTTCCCTACTCTGTAACGCCACCGCTCTTTAGGTCCCTACGCTGTAACACAGACACACTCTAGTTCCCTACGCTGTAACGCCAGCAGTCTGTAGTTCCCTACGCTGTACCTCCCTACGCTGTAACGCCAGCAGCTCTCTAGTTCCCTACACTGTAACACAGACACACTCTAGTTCCCTACTCTGTAACGCCACCAGTCTTTAGTTCCCCTACGCTGTAACACAGACACACTCTAGTTCCCTACGCTGTAACGCCACCGCTCTTTAGTTCCCTACGCTGTAACACAGACACTCTCTAGTTCCCTACGCTGTAACGGCAGCAGTCTGTAGTTCCCTACACTGTAACACAGACACTCTCTAGTTCCCTACGCTGTAACGGCAGCAGTCTGTAGTTCCCTACACTGTAACACAGACACACTCTAGTTCCCTACTCTGTAACGCCACCGCTCTTTAGTTCCCTACGCTGTAACACAGACACACTCTAGTTCCCTACACTGTAACGCCACCGCTCTTTAGTTCCCTACGCTGTAACACAGACACTCTCTAGTTCCCTACGCTGTAACGGCAGCAGTCTGTAGTTCCCTACGCTGTAACACAGACACTCTCTAGTTCCCTACGCTGTAACGGCAGCAGTCTGTAGTTCCCTACGCTGTAACACAGACACTCTCTAGTTCCCTACGCTGTAACGCCAGCAGCCTGTAGTTCCCTACGCGGTGCAGCCTGAAGGTCCTGAGGTAATTGGAAGATCAGGTGGTGACTGTAGCTCCGACTGTCTCTCTCCTCGTGTTTCTGTTGCATTCTGGGACATTTTTATGGTGACAGGGTGAACTGATCTGACACTAAAACACTGAGTGTGTCCTGCAGTCACACTGTCAGTTTTTATCTTTAGTAAATGTATGTGTACAAATATATTCTGTAAATATATACATATATACATAAATATATATGAGGGGCTGGGGCGTGTGTTGCCATGACAACACACGGAGCATCATGGACGCTCAGACGCAGTCCCTAATCTAAGGTCAAAGGTTTTTAAAGTGAATGCCTCTTCTTCTTCTACTCCAATCACCGCAGTAGAGTTCATCAGTCGGCTTCCTCCAGACCGTCACAAATAAATGACCACAAACGTTGCGCGGTGCGTTCACAGACTGAGGACACTTCCTGTTTGTATTCTTCAGTATTTGTGTTTGTTTACATCAATAACAGATCAGTCTGGAGGTCGAGCTGCTGCTGAACTCCGCTGACCGTTTTTAATTTAATGATTATGATATTTTCATGTTGCTGCATTCAGGGGGCGTGGGACATTCTTAACAACTGACGGACAAAATCGCTGTTTGTTCCTATTTCACCTGAATGCAGCATCACACCTTTCAAACAGGTGTGCCCTGAGTTCAGGCTCGCAGGCTGAGTCCCCTTCCATGGAGGGTTTGTGGGAAGCCTGTGAGGCGGAGCTCGGGGCCCACAGTGACTGACGGTTGTCGGTCCGATCCAGTGCCAGCGCGTCCTGAGCGGAGCTCGCTGGAGGTTTAGAGGTTTGAGACGGTTTCATGTTTGTACAGATGTTTTATGTTTTTTCTTCTTGGTGTGTTTCTGTGGCGGTGGCGGGGGGTCATGTGACGGGGGGGGGGTCAGGGGGTTTTTAAAGGACATTCCACCGTTTTTCATGGAGGACAAACAGACTGTCACAGTTTTTACATTTTTCACTTTGTGTTATTTTTTGCTGACATACTGTATAAAGATTTGAACACGCTGTAAGAAGAGTTGAGTTTAAGTGCATTAAATAAATATTTTAATTTGACTTTTCTCTGACGTTCATGAACAGATTCCTTCTTATGTGAGCAGAAACTGTTTGTGTTTATTCAACTGTTGTTTTTTTGCTTCATGAATCTAAAGTTCGGAGGGGTAACCAGGATAAGGGATTAAGCCGGGATATGTTGGTTATCCTGGATGAATTTAGCCTCAAGTCGGCTGCATGAAAGCAGGTTAAACTTATCCCGGCCAGGTTACTA